TATTATTTCGAGTTCAAAAGTTTGAAACATTCACTCGACTATTAAGCCTACGGGATACTTTTATTATGAGTTCGAGCAAGCACTCACTCGACCATTATGCCTATGGACTACATTATTTTGAGTTTGAAAGTTCGAAACATTTACTCGACTATTAAGCCTACGGGCTATTTTTATTACGAGTTCGAGCAAGCACTCACTCGACCATTATGCCTACGGGCTACATTATTTCTAGTTCGAAACATTCACTCGACTATTAATAAGCTACTTTTACTCTGAGTTTACATTAACTCAACCATTACACTTACAGATTATGTTTCTTCAAAGTTTGAATCATCGACTCAACTAGCAAACTTAAGGGCTACATAGCTTCAAATCTGATCGATCAGAGAGACTACGAGATCAACATTTGATTAAAGGTCTTCATAAAACAAAAACAAGTCGACCTTGTTATATATATATACAAGATTGCCTGCATGATTAATTTACAAATGTGAAGAATTAGAAACTAAGCTTCCTGGTCACCCACCAGAGCATTCACTCTATTGTCAAGATCTTCCCCATCCTCGGATCCGCTTTTGCTACCATCGTCATCATCATCATCATCATCAGAAGCCGAGGCTTTAGCTTCCGCTTCGAGCTCTTTTGCCTTTCTTATCTCTTTAGTAAGGTCAAAACCTCGAGCGTGTATCTCCTCGAGGGTCTCCCTCCGAGACCTACACTTAGCAAGTTCGACAACCCAATGAGCTCAAGCATCGGCAGTATTCGCCGCCTCCCGGGCCTCCATCTGAGCAGCCTCAGCATCAACTCGATATACAGCAATGGACTTATCCGCCAAAACTTTCGACGACTCAACCTTCGCCTTAGCCTCAACAAGCCGTGTTTCAAGCTCATAGATGTTCTTAGCTTGAACCGACCCCTTTAGCTTGACACTTTGAAGTTGAACGTTAGCCGATAATAATTTTGTCAAGATGGTTTCTTTTTCCACAGCCAGGCGGTCGATAATCTCCTTCCACTAATTGCATTCAGCTCGGATTTGATCAACTTCTTCTCGAAGTAACCCGATCTTTTTGATCTTTTGCTGTAACTGAGACAACGAAGGGTTAACTTCCACAGTTGAGTCAGACCCATACTTTAACAAAACGAGGCTCACCTGCTTATCAAGCTCGACCTTTTCTTCACGAACCTTAGCCAAATCCGCTTGGAGATCCTTTATAGCCTCGTCCTTTTGGCTGCAAAGAAGCAGCATGGCGTCTCTCTCACCTGAGATCTTCCGGAGCTCGGCCTCACACTGGCTAAGATCGACTCGAAACCTACTAATAGCTTGCATAGTAAGAAACACAAGTCAAGTATGGAAAAGAACAAAGAAACCAAGTGTGGAAGAATCATTACCCGAGTAATGAAACGTTGAGCCTCCTCTAATAAAAGAGAAGCGTCACCGATATCGGAAGCATCGTCGACTCCAGTAAAGCAATCTCTAAAAGGGTCCCCTACACCAGAGCCTGCCCCGATATCGGGAGTCTTCAATTCTCGAGCTTCCTTTAAGGCCTCCTCAGAAAAAGTTAGGAGAGAAGGCGAATGACCTATTGTCATAGCCCCGAGCAAATCACTCGAAGTACTCCGGTCGAGACTCGGGACTTCAGAACCAACCCCGACAGGCACAGCCGCTATCGGTTCGGGAGCTCTAGCAACCTCGATGGCCTCCGCAGATCGGATTACCAAAGTCGAGGAGATATCTTCTTCTTTTTCTCTCAATCGTTGGATCGAGTCAATCGGAAGGGCAATTGCTTTTCTCCTCACTCTCCAAGTTTTGGGCTTGGGGTCCTCAGAACGAGAGGAAGCTCTTCGCTTCTTATCCTTCCCCGGTTGCGGGACCAGGGACTTATTTCCTTCTTCGCCGCTCGAAGGCCTCAAAGCGGCATCCTCGGTTACGCCTGCACAAGAGGAAATTGGTAACAAATATAACGCAAAGAATACTTTAAAGGAAAAAAGAATCAAACCTCACCATGGATCTTGGCCTCCCATCTACCTTTAGCCTAATCAGGCCAAGCACGTTCGGCATAAGAGGAAGTTGAGGCTAACTTCCGAACCCAATCCTCGAGGTCAGGCACCGCTTATGGCATCTAAGGGGTAGCTGAATATCAGGGAAAGACATCAGAAAAAATCGAAAAAGGACACGAAAAGCAAACAAGAATCACTTACGGTCAAAATTCCATTCTTCGGGGAACGACATCTTCTCTTCCGGAATAAGATCACAGGTCCTCACTCGAATATAACGACCCATCCAACCCCGATCCTTGTCTTCATCGATGCTTGACATCAAAGCCTTTGTTGTCTGACGATGAAGTCTGATTAGTCCTCAAAAAATCTGAGCCCGGTACAATCGTATGAGGTGGTTCAGAGAAAAATCCAACCCCCCGGCTTTGATAGAGAAAAAACGCAGTAAGATCACTATACGCCATAAAGAGGGATGAATTTGACCGAGGGTGACCTGATATCTTTTATTGAAGTCAATAATCACCGGGTCGACGGGTCCCAATGTGAAAGGATAAGTATAAACACTTTAAAACCCCTCCACATAAGTGGTGACGCTCTCATCGGAGGATGGAATTTGCAACACAACCTCGGAACTCCAGTTGCAGTCTTTTCTGACGGTCTCGAGGTGATCCTCCATTATAGAGCACGTATACATCGACACGTGCTGACATCGACCCGGAACGGATGAAGGATTCTCCACCTTAAAATCGATCTTCAAACTGCATGGGCCAGGAACATAGTCGTGAACGGACGGCTCCACCGGTGCCTTATCATCGGACGACCGCGAGGAAGAAGCTTTCTCCTTCTGAGGTACGATTTTCGAAGTTTTTGCCATTGATACGAGAGGAAAGAATGCAAAGGAAAGTGAAATATTGACAACACCAAAACTCTGGTGTGGGCGGCTCTGAAGCAACGAAATGGAGAGGATAAATAAGAGAATTTGGAAGCAGAGAAGGCGCCAAAGTGGTAAAGGTTGTATGGAAAAGCTATTTATAGACTGAGGCTTGACAGTTCAGTATCATCAGTGGCCGACCACCATCTGACACGTATTAAATGCCTCGGTAAAACCGAGCCGATGGGACAGCTATCACATACGTCATGGTCAGGATCGATAAAAATGATAGCATAAATTTGATCGAGCCCTAGGAAAATCATATCGTGTCTCGCCACATCTTTTTCCGAGAAACGAGGGGACTATCTGTGTACGGTCAAAATCGATCCTCAATCATAAAGACTGGTCGAGACGACGATGTTTCGATCGAAGGATATCTACATGATGAGCTCGGTCGAATTCCGAAGTAGGGACGTCGAGCTTCGAGCTAATAGACCGAACAACGACAAGACTCGATATCATTATCGAGCCCATATCCAAATCGAACTACGAGACAAATCGCAGTTCATCGAAGATGCCTAGACCGACCAACACTCACCCAGAATATCGATGCCCCAAGGCAGAATCGAGCTCGAACCAAGACCGGGGGCTCGATCTAATACTGAGCTCGAGCCAGTATCAAGCTCGCAGACAAGAGCCGTTACAACCGCACCAAGGGAGAGAATCTTAGCGAGAACCGAGGAAGAGACAAATCATCATGGGTCCTCCACTATATGCATTATTTTATTATGTTGTTATAGATAAAGGATTACCCTCTATTATAAAAGGGAACATCCTTGTAAGCTAAAGGGAGACACTGCAATAAATACATCCTTTTCTCACATACATTGAGATTTCTTTGTGCTTGTTTTGTCTCAACTTATTCAATTTCCCTGTTCATCATCCCATTTTCATAGTGAAAATATTAGTATTGTTATTTTTGTATCAAAGAAATTTGCGTATCCTTAGAACCATACCTAAATTTAACGTTATCCGATTTTTCGGGTAAACAATTATCTTTATGGAAGATTATATTTTTGACTAATCTATTTGGCCAAAGTTTTTTCTGCTATAGCTAGGTTCTATTTTTGACTCTGCTCTAATATTTTTTGTTGATTTTATATTTTCTTAATATAGTGTGTGAAAACTAGTTTTAAACAAGTATGTGGTAGCAGTAGGAACGAGAAAGGATTGTATCAAGGTTGTGTTTCACCCATCAATATTTTACGATTGATCGGTGTAATTCCTACATAATATTTTTTTCTTTCTCCCCCTTCTCCAACTCAATTTGAATATGTTCACTTTTTATTCGTTTTCACATGCCACAATTATGATATAATCTTATATTCGTCCAACGATGATCTGAGCTGAAGTTTAGTCCAAAAGGGATAACGAGCAGAGCAAAATTGGATTACAATTGAAGGAGGATGTTGAATTATATAATGTCCAAACAAATATCTATAATTAAACATCTGAAAAATATTTAAAAAATTGACATAAAAGAAAAAACCGTTTGAATCCCCAAATAGCAAGAGCGCTAGCTTTTAAATGAAGTGAATTGTTACTTAACATACTATGTTTTCCGCGCAAAGTTTTTTATTTGATATTTTACGGTTGTAAAATAATTTCCTTGTAAGAAAAAAATATGATGGGAAAGAGTACCAGTATAGTTGGACTTCATATCACTTATTGTTATCAAAATAAACAAACATTTCCTGAAAATGGTAATTATAAAGGATTTCATGGTTTTAATTTGAAGGAATGATTCAATTTCTTGTTAATCTTCTTTTTTGTATTTCCTCCTTGTTCTCTGCAATTGGAGGATAGCTACTAGCTTCTCTGCAACAAGTTGAACACGAATATTATTATTATTATTATTATTATTATTATTATTATTGTTGTTGTTGTTGTTTCCTTACTTTAATATTGTGGTGCTATTCTTAGTCGAAAATAACACGTGTTCCACTTTGGAGTGCTCTCTCTATTTCTGTCTTTTTAATCTCTTGTCTTATATTTCCTCCTTGTCCCCTGCAATTGGAGAATAAGTACTAGTTCCTCTTCAATATATGACATAACATAGTGACAGTTCCAAAATCATGTAATTAATTGAAAGAAAACAAGTTTGGACACATAAGTGTTAGTTCCAAAATCTCTCTATTTCCTTTTCTTAGTTTTTGCTTTCTAATGGAATCTGATTCCAAAGCTATAGAAAAATATTAACTGTCTCATAAGCACCCTTATAATATCCTCAATGTTTCATTAGAAATCTTGCTTCAATATATAGTCAAAAGTTGAGTTTTCCTCTAAAGAAAGGAAGATGTTTGGCTCAAATAATGGTAGAACTGATCAAAATGAGAGTTCTGAATATGATAGGAAAAGTGAAGTTCAAGCCTTTGATGATTCAAACGTTGGTGTAAAGGGACTTTTGGATTCTGGTGTCACAAAGTTACCGCGCATATTCTTGCTCAACCAGCCTGTTATTGAATAGAAATCAGATTCTGATGCAGCTACTAAGTTTACCCTTCCAGTCATAGATTTAGGAGGCTCGGGCAAAAGTGCAGCTCAACGAGCTGATATTGTCCGAGAAATAAAGGATGCTTGTGAAAACTGAAAACTGGGGATTTTTCCAAATTGTCAACCATGAAATCCCATCAAGTGTTATGGAGAAAGTATTAGAAGGCGTTCGCCATTTTCACGAGCAGGATTCTGAGGTGAAGAAAGAGTTCTACTCTCGTGATGATACGAGAAAGTTCACCTACAATACCAATTTTGATCTACACAAAGCAAAAACAGCTAACTGGAGAGTCACCTTTTACGGTGTCATGGCTCCTAATCCTCCTCATCCCGAAGAAATGCCAGAGGTTTGCAGGTATATATTATGCTTACTATTAGTATGGTTTCTTTCCTTTAATATGCATCATTAATAGTGAACATTGGAGATTTTATGCAGGCAAGTTCACATTGGTAAAATTCTTTTATGTAGTTGTAAATGTTACAAACTTGATCAATTAATTCACTACTTTCCATTTTGTTTTGTAGCTGATCACAAAATCACAAACGATAAGTTCAGAAGCGTTCTTCATAGAGTGCTAGCGAAAAATGTAGGACCAAGAATTTCAGTGGCAAGTTTTTTCAGAATGCATTTTCAAGAAGGCAGTGAATCAAGATTATATGGTCCAATCAAGGAGTTGTTATCAGAGGAAAATCCTCCAATATACCGAGAAACACGCAGAAAAGAGTATGTCACTTATCTATACAACAAAGGGCTAGATGGAACTTCTTTATTGTCACATTTCAACTTACAAAAAGAGTGACAGGATTTGCTGCAGAAATGTTTCATCATCTTCCTGGTGTTTTACTCAGTGTGCCTGTGGTTATGTGCTCGCGAGTTCAATTAAGTATTCTTGTACCAGTTGTAACATGCATCTTTTTAGCAATTATAAATAAGCACCTCAAGTTCTGCTCATCTAAAAAAATTGAGAACAGTGGTTTCCTCAACACAAAATAAATGTTATCAAACCATGTTATGTATTCTTGAGTATACATTGGTGTTGGGAATAAACCCCCCGTTGAAATAATATTCACAATAATAAAAGCGGAATAATAACGTAGCACCAAGATGCGGTAATTAATAAGAATAAAAGAGTGACAACGACACCAAGATTTTTTTACGTAGAAAACCCTTTTGAATAAGGGGAAAAAAACTACGGCCCCGAGACGAGCAAATGATATCACTATAGTAAGGAATTTTATATTTTATAGGTCCGAGTAAAATACTCCAAAGAGCACTACAACACTCAAAAGAAATAACCCTCTTTTGATATTCCCACCTTACTACAATATCGCTCACTCTCTATTTTTCTCACAGACTATTTTATTATACCCTGTCTGTGAAGCCTCACTCTTTCTTTCTAACTCTCAGATATATTTTTTCTCTGTGATTGGTGTGTAGAAATGAGATCCGAAGCTCTCCTTTTATAAGAAAAATGACCTACCTCTTCAACAAATCAGAATGAAGTATTGGTTGAAAATTTGCATTCTTGCTGACGCCCACCTAATTTGGCAACCAAGTCCAAGTCCAATTTGGCAACTTGGACTTTTTTAGTATGGGGATGGATCCCATAATCTCACTATTTTCTTTGATCCATTTATGGGGATGGACCCTACAAATCTCTCCCTCCAGACCCATTCACCCAAAGGAGGTAACGCTGGACTTAGCTTGAGTGCATGCCGACAAGTTCTTTGCACAATTCGAATTTGTCTCTTGGTACCACATTGGTCAACATATTTGAGGGATTCTCACTTGTATAAATCTTCAAGATTTTTAGAGATTCATTCTCTGCCATTTCTTGAATCGACGTGAGATATCACGTCGATATGTTTGGTCCTTGTATGGTACATGGAGTTCTTGCTAAGGTCTATTGCACTTTGACTGTCACAATAGACGACATACTTCTTCTAATGCAATCCAAACTCTTGAAGGAACCGTTTTAACCATATCATATCCTTGCCAGCTTCAGTAGCGGTAATATACTCCGCTTCAGTTGTAGAGAGTATGCCACACTTCTGCAACCTCGACTGCCATGATATAGCTCCCCCTTAAAATGTAAAAAAAATCCAGTAGTGAATTTTCTGTTATCATTGTCACGTGCCATATCAACATCTGTATAGTCCTTCAAGATTGGATCAGATCCTCCAAAACACAAGCAATCTCCTACCGTACCTCTTAGGTACCTAAGTATCCACTTGACTACTTCCCAATGTTCTTTTCTAGGAGTTTCAGGAAATCTGCTAACAACACCAACTGCATAAGCAATATCAGGTCTGGTGCATACCATTGCATACATCAAGCTTCCGAATGTTGAAGAATAAGGAACTCTAACCATGTTCCCTTTCTCCTCCATTATTGTAGGACATATCTTCTTGCTCAACTTTAGATGACTAGCATGAGGTGTATTGACTGGCTTAACATTTTTCATGTTGAAGCATTCCAGTACACGTTCAATGTACTTCTCCTAAGACAACCACAACTTTTTGCTTGTTCGCTCTCGAACTATCTTCATACCCAAAATTTGTTATGTTGGCCCCAAGTCCTTCATATCAAATGACTTGGACAAATCTCCCTTTAACTTTCCGATCAACCCCTTATCTTTTCCTACAATTAACATGCCATCCACATACAATAACAATATAATAAAATTATTTTCAGAAAAGCTTTTGAAGTATACACATGGATCAGAATATGTCTTTGTGTAAGTTTGACTTTTCATGAATGAGTCAAACTTCTTGTACCACTGTATTGGTGTCTGCTTTAACCCATAAAGACTCTTATTCAGTTTGCACACCATGTATTTCCTTTCAGCTACTTCAAATCCTTCTGGCTGCTCCATATAGATCTTCTCTTCCAAATCTCCGTGAAGAAATGCAGTTTTCACGTCAAACTGCTCCACTTCAAGATCTAGGCTAGCTGTTAAGCTTAAGATTGTTTGAATAGAAGACATTTTTACAATAGGTGAGAAAATTTTGTCAAAATCAATACTTTTCTTCTGCTCGAAGCCTTTTACCAACCATCAAGCTTTGTATCTGACGAGCTTGCCATTTCCATCTTTATTGAGTTTAAAGACCCATTTGCATTTGAGTGGTCTTTTACCCTTTGGAAGTTCAACCAGCTTGTACTTGCCATTTTTCTGTAGAGATTCCATCTCTTCTTGTATGGTTGTGATCCACTGGTTCTTTTATGGATGAGACATCATCTCCTTAAGACTTTCTGGCTCCTCCTCATCACTGATGAGGACATACTCTATGGAAGGGTACATGCATGACTCTACCCTTGGCCTTTCTGATCTCCTCAGAGGTTGAGGTTGTTCTTCTCCCTGAGTGTGGTGATCCACTTGCTCGACATCATCATCAAGTTGCTCCCCCTGCTCAATAACCTCACCAGGTTGTTCCCCCCTACTCGGCAACCTTGTCGTTCGTGCTTTCTGCACTTTTGGGATAGTTAGAAGAAGAAGGAATGGTAACAAGGTTAGGAATTATACCATTTTTGGCCTTCTCTGACATATCATCAGCAGTTTCAACTTCACTTTCTCGGAAGACTACATCTCTGCTTCTGATGATCTTCTTATTTACAAGATCCCACAATTTGTATCTGAACTCTTCATCTCTGTATCCGATGAATATATAGGGAATAGATCTATCATCTAGCTTTATTATCTGCTCTTTTGGTACATGCGCAAAAGCTCTGTAACCGAACACCTTCAGATGCGAGTAGGACACCTCCTTGTTAGTCCAAACTCTCTCTAGGATGTCAAACGCCAACGGAACTGATGGACTCATATTGATCAAGTAACAGGCTGTCTGAACTTCTTCACCCTAGAATAACTTAGGCAGTTTAGTCATTCTGAGCATGCTTCTCACCTTCTCCACTATGGTGCGGTTCATCATTTCGGCTACACCATTGTGCTGTGAGGTTTCATGAACTGTCTTTTCATGTCTGATCCCATGGCTCGAACAATACTCTTCAAATTCCCTTGAAGTGTGCTCACCTCCCTTGTCACTTCGGAGACGCTTTAGCTTTTGGCATGTCTCCCTTTCCACCATAGCATGAAACTTCTAGAAATTTTGAAACACCTGATCTTTGGTTTTCAAAATATAAACCCATAATTTTTGTGAAGCATCATCAATAAAAGTAAAAAAATATTTATTACCGCCCATCGATTCAATTTCCCTTAGACCACAAACATCAGAATATACCAAATCAAGTATATTCAATTTTCTTTCAGACGATGTCTAAAATGAGACTCTATGCTGCTTACCAAATAAATAGTAGTCTCAAAGTTTTACCGTTGTACCTTTGGCATAAGAAATAAGTGATTTCCTGGCAAGAATCTTCAATCCCTTCTCGTTCATATGACCCATTCTTCTGTGCCACAAATCTGCAGAAATCTCATCTTGTGTCGCGTTCAATTCACCTTGGCATATTTCTGCATTTGTCCTGTACAATGTGCCACGAGCAACTCCCTTTGCAATCACCAATGATCCCTTGGTGAATATCCATTTTTTATTTGCAAAATGGTTCTCGTATCCATCTCGGTCTAAAGCAATTCCCGAGATCAAGTTCATCCGCAAATCAGGTACATGTCGCACGTCCTTTAGAATCAATGTGCGTCCGACATTTGTCTTGATACAAATATCATCGATCCCCGCAATCTTTGAGTAACTTGTGTTACCTATTCTCACAGTGCTGAAATCACATACTACATATCTACAAAAAATATCTCTTACCGGTGTGGCATGGTAAGATGTTGTTGTATCAACCACCTATTCCGACTCTAGGACTCACAAGTGCATGCATTCCTCATCCTCATTTATAAAGAGGACAATATTATCATTGTTTTGCATCATGACAGTTTTGTTGTCATCATTCTTCTGGCCAATGCTTTCACCTTTTCCCTTCCTTGGATTTGGGCAATCTCTTTTGAAGTGACCTGGTTGATCACAATTGTAACAATTTCTGGCTCTTGATTTGGATCGGTTTTTAGACTTCCCACGAGCTCCAGATCTATCATAGTTGCTCGAACTCCTTTGATAACTCCTGCCTCTACCTTCTGTGATGAGAGCTTGTCTTTGATTTTCAGGCCTCTTTCTCATATTCTCGTTGAGTAGAAGAGTCGATGTGACATCTTTCAACTCAATGGTAGTCTTACCGTGCAGGATGGTTCAAATTATCGTACGAAGATGGCAACAAGTTCAACAATAAAATATGGCTTTATCTTCTTCCTCGATTTTCACTCCGGGATTAGCGAGCTGTGTGATTAGTTCGTTAAATACATTTAAATGTGACAAAACAATTGTACCTTCACCCATGTCTAGGGCGTATAGCTGCTTCTTCAGGTATAATTTATTTTTTAGCGTTTTGGACATGTATAGGCTTTCTAACCTTGTCCAAATGGCACATGCGGTGTCTTCATCAATGATGTTATTTACCACATCATCTAATAAGTGCAACCTGATTGCACCAGCAACCCTTTCATCCAAGTTAGCCCAATCCTCAGCTTTCATGGTATCAGGCTTTTTGGCATTAGCATCTAGTACTTTGTGTAAACCTTGTTGGATGAGCAAATCTTTTTCCATGTTGAGAAACTGTTATCTCTGTTGAATTTTGCTACCTCTTACTTTACTCCGGACATTTTTTCTTTTCACCGAGTATAGTACTACCAACAATGAATAGTACTTCTGTGAGCGAGCAGAACTTGTGCTCTGATACCAGTTCTTAGGAATAAACCCACTACAGAAATAATACTCATAGTAATAAAAGCGGAATAATAATGTAGCACTGAGATACAGTAATTAACAAGAATAAAAGAGTGACAATTGTCACACCTCCTTTTTACCCCAAAAGATATATGCGTTATGGATTGTTGTGAGTTACAAAATTTTTTCAATAGGGGACTTTTACCCCAAAAGTTTTCATGTTTTATGTATCTGCTTTTATATTAAAATATGAAATTATCTTTGAAATGAATCACGTGTGTGAATCCGTTTTATTTATTGTGCCAAAATCATGTCTCGTGCACGTGCACGCAATTAATAGCATTTTTATTATATTTAAGGTTGTTTCGCCCAAAGTTGCGAGAATGCATACCTTGATTTTAGTTTTGGGAATCGTAATTATGTCACGTAAACGTATACATAATCACGATGATTCAATTAATTAAGAGTATGCCAAAAGCATTCTAATGCATTCATGATTTGTTTCTTTCCTAAGTTTGAGATTATTGTGAAGGCCATGAATTATGGAATTACTTGTGGAAGAAGTGTATGATTTTAGATATTTGAATAATTAAACCATCATATACCAATATCCTACAACCCAACAATTGAAGATCAAACTCATTAGGGTCCAAATCTTTTCAACTTTAAAGCAAGTTTGAATACCATATTTTCAAAAACATGATTAAGCATATAACATTTAGTGACTAACTTACATTACTATTTATATAGTTTAAAGGCAAATAAATAAAATCACATGAAATAAGATAAAAATAACAGAGGGAAGAATAAACCTTTAATGCAAATTTTTTAATTAAATGAGTCTCCAAGAACAAATACAATAACTCAGACGAACGTCGAACAAGCATAAGCGACGAATAACATCAAACCTAGTGAACGGAGCTCCAACGGAATCCTCGACCTCGACTATTGACTCCATTTTTTGGCGTGTTAAAAGGGATGTTATGAAGTATTTTTGTTGGGTTTTGGTGATGACTTGCTGGATTTTTTGAAAGAAAGACGAAGAAAGAATGACACGAGTAGAAATTCTCTTAGCGTAGAAGAAGAAAAACAATTTCTCTCAATTCCCTCCTCCCTTCCTTTTTTCTCCTTCTCCCCCATTTTCCCCTTCTATTTAAAGAAAAACAATTCAGAATTTTTCAGATTTGTTTTAAACATATTTGATTATTTGATTATTTTGTTAATTAAAAAGATCCAACTTCCCATTTTCTTTTTTTTTTAAAAGAAAAAAAATAAAATAAATTCCCCACTTTCCTTTACTTTTATTTTTTTAAATTTTCACTTTTTATTTTTCTTTTCCACTTATTTTACTTTTTAAAAAAAAATATTTTCACCTACTTTTACTTTTACTTTTTTATTCCATACTTTTAATTTTTTTATTATTCTATTCCCATCCGAAAATTAAATTTTTTTATTTAAAAATAAAGATAAATAATAATAATAATAATAATAATAATAATAATAATAATAATAATAATAATAATAATAATAATAATAATAATAATTTGACCTTTTAAATTATTTTTAATTCTTAACCTATATAAAAAAATGTAACAAAGCTAAAATAATATATATTAAATTTCTAAAAATATTTACATAGTAGAAGGTGATAAAAATTCAAATATAGTCAAAAATTAGGTGTTTACAACAACAATACCAAGATTTCTTACGTGGAAAACACTTTTGTATTCGGAAAAATAAACCATGGCCCCGAGACGAGCAACTGATATCACTATAGTAAGGAATTCTATACTTTGTAGATCCGAGTAAAATGCTCCAAAGACCACTACAACACTCAAAATAAATAACCCTCTTTTGATATTTCCATCTCACTACAATATCGCTCACTCTCTATTTTTCTCACAGACTATTTTATGATACCCTATTTGTGAAGCCTCACTCTTTCTTTCTAACTCTCATATATATATATATTTCTCCTTTGAGATTGGTGTGTAGAAATGAGAGCCAAAACTCTCATTTTATAGGAGAAATGACCTACCTCTTCAACCAATCAAAATGAAGTATTGGTTGAAACTGACGCCCACCTAATTTGGCAACCAAGTCCAAGTCCAATTTGGCAACTTGGACTTTTTCAGTATGGGGATGAACCCCACAATCTCCTCTTTGCTTTATTCATTTATGGGGATGAACCCACAGTTGAAAATTTGTTTTAGCTTTTCTAGAACAGAACGTGCAATCCTTGAATATTTGAAATTGTCATGGTGAAAATAGCTTTCTTATTATTCAGTGAGTAAGAGATAATGCACTATCCTCCCCCCCCTCCCGAACTATACCCGAAACTTTTTTTCGTAGTTCTTTGACGTGGAGCACTGCGTGAGAATAGCTCCTTCAAGCGCGTGAGAACTTTAAAAAAGGGACTCTAACCTATACGAAATGACCATGTGTCAATTCCAAAGCTGATTTTCAAAAGCTCTTCATCCCCATTTTATTAGCCATTTTCAAGAGTTCCAAATCTAATTTTTGGTGTTAAAATTCAAAAACCTCGACTAAATCAGCACAAATCAAGCTCAAATTTCATCTACAACTTCACAACAATATCATCATCATACCCCAATGATCAATTTGGCCAACAACCACGAATTTTAACAAACCTATTTTTTTGTTCTTCAATATTTTTCAAGGTTCAACAATGGTGGATTCAAAATTCTTTTGTCATTTTCGAATCTCATCTACCATTAAGGATTTAGAATGAGTTTAGCACTTGAATCTCAACTTTAAAACTTCAACGACGTCTGAATATACACAACACCTCTAATAATTTTTCAGGTTCATACAAAAATATTTATTTTCTAAATACAAAATAATATTTCATTTCATTTTGAATTAAAAAGAAAAGAAAAAGGAAGAAAATGAAATAGATTTTAAAAAATAAAAAAATACGAAATTACATGTGACAACGCGTGTATTTCACCGCTTGCCAAATGTTTGGTTCTCTATGCAACGTCGACACTTATGGTGACATTTATTTCACTTTAAAAAAGTTTAAGGGGGGTAATAGGACTCCCGCAAAAATAAGGTATGTCGTAGCAACTTCGGATATAGTTTGGGGGTATAGTGCATTATCTCCATATCTTGTATTTCATAAAAAGAAAATGAGGGCAATATAATCCTAAGGGCCATCCTGTCCAACTTTCAGGCATTAAGATACTTTTCAAGCGTGGATTATTATCACAAGAGATTTCTTCCCGTTCTTGAAAATCTACACTTATCCAAACCCAGTCTAGCTCGAATGATGTGCCCTTATCTTCCAGGAGTGGGAACTCAGTTTCCAACCAATTTCAGAACTTGTGATGTGTCATATTAATAATTAGAATATCTTATGTACTTTTTTGTTGGTTCTTTGGTGATTAATTAATAATTATAAATCAGTTGCACCTTCTGTCCATGAAAAGTAGCTCTATTACAATTTTGAGCTTTAATTAGTGGCTATTAACTATTGTTTAGTGGCTATTAACTTCATATAACTATCATATACATAATTACTTCTATAGCTACTATTCAGTTGTTACGATAGTGTATTCACATGTATTCGCGTTGCTGTATTCATTAACACAACAGCAAAAGGCGCTTAAAATCAGGGCAGTCCAGTTGTATGCGCATGTATTCGTGTTGCTGTATTCATGAATACAATAGTAAAAAGCACCTAAAATCAGGGCAGTCCAGCTGTACGCGCATGTATTCACATGTATTCGCGCCATGTATTCATGAATACAACAGCAAAAAGTACCTAAAATCAGGGCAGACCAGCTGTACGCGCATGTATTCACATGTATTCGCGCCATGTATTCATGAATACAACAGCAAAAAGTACCTAAAATCAGGGCAGACCAGCTGTACGCGCATGTATTCACATGTATTCGCGTTGCTGTATTCATGAATACAGCAGCAAAAAGCGCCTAAAATCAGGGCAGTCCAGCTGTAAGCGTATGTATTCACATGTATTCGCGCCATGTATTCATGAATACAGTAACGACAATCCCTTAAAAATAGGTATGTCCAGCTGTCTAAGAGAGCGGAAAAATATAAATAGCTTATTTCATGCCTCAATGGTAGTATATACCATAAAATATTTATTTTGCTAGTATAAAATATAAAAGATAGTTATAAAAAATAATATTTTAAAATAATTTTAGTTTATAATAAATATGGTGTATACCTTTGCTACAGGAGGTAAAATTTCCTTTAATTAACAAGAATTCAATGTGCATGTGATTGTACAGCACAAGTCTACAGCTTTTAATCATTTAGTAGTAATTTTTAAGGAAAAGTTTCACAATCCCCTGAGGTTTTTGTTGGTAGATATCTCTACCCAATGGTTTCAAATATTACACAAACCTACCTTTTCTTATATTTTAGTGTGACGAAACTATATTGTAACCTAAAATGGACAATTTTGTCCATTATTATGTATTTCTTTTTCTTTTATATATGTGTAGCAAAACTAACTTATGTTATTTTACTTTTTGGGAGGAAAATGATCATGCATAGTCACTCTCAAAATAATAAACGAAAAATATATTTATTTTTTTGTATATATATTGGTTCATCCCACTCAACTTGTTCTATGGTATTCTAGGACAAAAGTGTGGGGTTCATATTGAAAAAAAACAAAAAAGAAATGAAGAAAAATGGGATGAGAGGTGCCTAACTTTGTTGAAGAAAAAAATGAGATATGTGCCTAACTTTGTTGACAACTTTGTTGGAAAAAAAAATTGGAGGTGCCTAACTTTGTTGAAAAATTATAGGACTAAATCAACAACAAATCATTTTCTTTGTAGTAGTTGGATGACATCTCTTACTATAAATAGCGACCTCCATTCTTCATTTCAATTACACCAAAATAAGAGAGAAACAATAAAAGTTAGAGAAAGTATTCCACATATTGTAGTCTATGAGATAAATAGTGAGTGTAAATAATATTGTAGTGATGTGTTTTTAGATAAAGAATGTTATTTCTTTCAAAATTTGTAGTAGTCTCTTGACACTACTAAGTTGTAATATTATAGTGATTATATTATCCCGCTCGGGTATTATATTTTACCTCATTAAAAAAGTTGATATTGTTGTTACTCTCTTGTTTTATTATTATTTGACATGAATATTATTTCTGGCGGAGATTATTATTTTTCTCAACAAAAAGCTCTACTCGAGATTGCACTGTCTTAACTTCAAACTAATTAAAATAATGTGTTTCTTTTGACTATAGATCCACAAAGAACCATTATATTTATGAGTACTAGTTTGACTTTGACTAACTTATCTGCTCGAGAAACTTAACCTTCTTGAAACTACAGAAAAATATGTCTGGCACTGAAGATTCACAAGCTGAACTGACAATGGATTATGATCGATTGAAGGAGATAAACGATTTCGATGATACAAAAGCTGGTGTTAAGGGAGTAGTTGATTCTGGAATTTTGAACATACCAAGAATGTTCATTAGGCCTACTCAAGAACTTGTTGAAGAGTTAAATCAGTGTAAGTCAACTCTAAAGATTCCAGTGGTAGATCTCAGTGGCATAGAAGTTGAAGATCGACGTAAGAAGATTGTTGATGAAATAAGAGAAGCATCAGAAAAATGGGGATTTTTCCAACTGATAAATCATGGTGTTCCTTCAAGTGTTTTGGAAGGAATGATTGATGGGATTTGTAAATTTCATGAACAAGATGTTGAGTTAAAGAAAGAGTACTATACGCGTGATCATACGAGAAGAGTTAGATATGAGAGCAATTACGATCTTTACCAATCAAAGACAGCAAACTGGAGGGATACATTGAACATTTCTATGCTAGTTTCTAGTAATATTGAACCTGAAGAAATACCAGCAGTTTGCAGGTAAGTATCTCTATATCTTTTTAATTCCTTGGTTGATGAAGTCGTAACCCCTATGATCACCGGTATGGTGATAGACAGCGGTCAATGTTTATTTCTTGTAGTTTTTTTTGGTTTCACACCCGGTCTCTAGTGCCCTCGTTGGGGCCGCAAATCCGGATTTTCATTTTTTTCGGGATAAAGCGCTCCCTACCAAAGACTATTCTATTCCCAAGGCTTATCCCAACACTCTGTTAATTCTGTGAGAATTTTACATTTATATTTGTACTTCGCATCGAAAATATTGGATTCGTAGAAGGGGCCTACCAAATGCGACTCCATTCTCAGGGCTTGATCCCAACACTCTAGTTAATTCTGTGTGAATTTTACATTTATATCTGTACTCAGCATCTGAAAATATTGGGTTCGTAGATGGGGCTTATGCTGTGAAGGTTGGTCTGGAACGAGCTGGTTGTTCTCATTGAGGACATGGCAAAACAAAACCAGGGCAACCTATGATTTACTTTTAGATATTTTCCAATAGACGTGCCCTCATTTAGTATCTGATATTACTGATACTGCATACTGAAATTTTTGAATATAGGGAATAGTACTCCATCTTACAGAATTCGTCTGTCCTTTAGTAAATGGCACGATTATTTGACAGGTTAGGCTAGATTACATCTTAAATTTTATAACATTTTTGTTACTTTGGTGATCTCGAATCTTTTCCTAATTCCAGGAGCACATCTATTGAGTATATAAATCATATCACAAGGTTAGGAGAAACTCTATTCAGCATACTATCTGAAGCACTCGGGCTAAAATCAGACCACTTGAAAACCATGGAATGCGCGAAAGGGAAAACATTGGCATGCCATTACTACCCGGCATGTCCACAGCCAGAGCTAACTCTTGGTGCTTCTAAACATACAGATACTGCTTTCCTTACCATTCTTCTTCAAGATCAAATCGGTGGTCTTCAAGTCCTGCACGATAACCAATGGATCAATGTTGAGCCAATTTCACAAGGCTTGGCTGTTAATATTGGCGAGAGTCTTCAGGTTTGTTATTGATACACAACATTAAAGGGCAGCCCGGTGCACTAAGCTCCCGCTATGTGCAGGGTCCGGGGAAAGGCCGAACCACAAGGATCTATTATACGCAACCTTACCTTGCATTTCTGCAAGAGGCTGTTTTCACGGCTCGAACTCGTGACCTCCTGGTCACATGGCAGAAACTTTATCAGTTATGCCAAGGCTCCCCTTCTATTGATACACAACATTGTGGTCTCTTTTATCTTAGATTAAGCAAAATCGTCTCACTTATTTCGATATGATTTTGTAACAGATTTTATCCAATGACAAGTTTGTGAGCGTGAATCATAGAGTTATAGCGAATAATGTAGGACCGAGGATGTCAGTGGCGTGCTTTTTCACTGGTGTTTCTGCAACTCCAAAGATCTATAGTCCAATCAAAGAGCTCATATCAGAAGAAAATCCCCCTCTTTATAAAGAATTTACAGTAAGTGATTATATGGCTAAGTTTATGTCCAGGCCACTTGGTAAGTCTACTCTTGACCTTTTCAGACTGTAAAGAGAGACTAAGCGTTAGTTTGCCAAGCAGCAAAAAACATCAGTATAGTACTTCAGAACATATATGATTTTTGTTTTACAGGGAAATTTCGAATAGTTTGTGATTTGCTCTAACAAAATATTTTATCAATGACTTCTGGATTAGCTAAGAGCATCTTTGTTATTCCTGTTTTTATCTTCAAATGAGTAGGATCAATGTCATGAATACAATCTCATGTATTGTTCGTTTTCGTTATGTATCTTGATGTTACGCAACACATCAACATTTACACTGTATTTACTATTCGTAGCTATATTTTCAGCAAATTTACGGCCATTTATAACTATATTTGAATTTTATAGCAAATCCATGAAATAAGAGATTTAATTGTTTTGAACTGAAACAAGAGAGCAACAAGCTCTCGTAGCTCAGTTGGACCGCTTGCTTCGCTAGCGAAGGCCTTGAGTTCAAATTCTGTATTTCACCTTAGTTAAATTCGTTGCGCGAACAAATATGATAGATACAAATTGTATCCTTTGTATATACCCTTGCATACAGTCGATACAACTTGTATTTTTTGTATACACCCTTGTATTTCGCCTTGGTTACAGTTGATACATATTGTATTCCTTGCATGAATGAATACAATTGCGCGAACGAATACAATTGATACAGGTTATATTCGCTGCATGAAGGAATACATTTGACACAGGCTATATTCGTTACGTGTTTGGATACAAGTTATACAAGTTTGTAACAATTGAAAAGTAGCTACTAATGGTAATTAGTCAAGTTATAATTATTAGGCTTTAAACTTTAGTGGTTTATGAGAAATCCTCTTTATCCCAATAGGAAAGGAAAAAGCCCCAAAATCCAACAGATGCTGCTACGCATACGTTTTTCTTACCATTCTTCAGGTTCACAACAAAACACAACTTTTTGTTCTGATTGATCTTCATTTTTTTCAAATATATATAACGTCCAATCATTAATTTTCCAACATATAATATATATGACGAATAGAAGGGTACAAATTACATGTGCAAACACACATAGTGCAATTTATTTCAGATTTATTTAGGTACATGCATAAAAGAGTTATATATTTGATCGATGCATTTATATATCTTAGCTCAAACATTGCGGTGGAGAGCATTAAGGAGAGATTCTGCAGCCAAGGATGGGCAGCAGTTGTTAAAGCAGCAAACTGCATATAATGAGCAGCTGTCGGTGCAATACTTAGAGCACTCTGCATTCCCAGTGTAGCAACAAACTGCCATCACTAGTACTAGCATTATTATGCCATCTTCAACCCTTACCTCCATTTTCTCCTTCAAAATACAGTAATCTCGAAAATGCAGGAAAGTTACTCCAACCATTACTTCATTTTTTACTCCAAAAAAGAATATTCTATTTTATATTCTTCTCTTTTCAATATTATATTATTATCTTTATATAAATTTTATTTTCTTATTTCTATTAAAGAAAATCTA